CCAAACATCAAAAGAATCATCAATAGAAAGAGAATTCACATCATCTTTATTATTAATACTTAGTTTGTACATGCCATCACAAGAATATCCCTTTCCCACAAAGATCCCATTCTTAGATACAATACAATTATTGCCCTCAAGTACAATCTTAAGCCCATTCTTACACATAAGACTAGCGGATACAAGATTTTTCCTAATATCAGGATCATGAAGAACGTTGTTCAAAGTAAGCTTTTTTTTCAGAAGTACAGTTAATCTCCACCACTCCTCTCCCGGCAAGCATCGCTGCATCATTATTCCCCATAAGAACCGTTTGTCCTTCCTTTCCCACTTTGTAAGATAAGAACATAGTTTTGTCATTACAAACGTAGATTGTGGCACCGGAATCAAGCCACCAATCGGAGGATTTAGATGCAGCCATGTTAGTTTCAGTAATCATGCCAATTTGCAATTCTGAGACCATAGCACATATGTCTTCGGATTTCTCTTCAACGGCATTGGCATTGTTGGTGTTAACTCCTTCCTTTTTCTTCTTGTATCTGCAGTCATTTTGGTGATGGCCTTTCTTTCCACAAAAGAAACAATTTTTAGAAAATTTCTTTTGGCCATTACCGGGCTTTTTGAACTTCTTGTCATTATTGACTTTGAAATTCTTTGAAAACTTACTAGCTTCGGCAACATTAACTTTAGAGGAATGTACATTTTTATTCTTGGAATCACGAGACTTAGTCTCTTCTTCGATTCTCAAGTGTTTTTGTAATTCCTCCAAAGTTATGTCATCTCTCCTATGAAGAAGTTTCTTTCTATAACCATTCCAACTTTGAGGCAATTTAGCAATAATTGCCCCCACTTGGAATGATTCAGAAATGTCAACTTTCAATTCACGAAGCTTAGTAATAATGACTTGCAATTCATGTATTTGATTTAGAACGGACTTAGTATCAACCATGACAAATTCTAGAAATTTCAAAATGAGAAATTTGTCCGTACCTTCCTTCTCAGTTTTGTATTTGTATTCGAGAGCGTTCTAAATCTCCACCGGAGACTCCATCGAGTTGTAAAGATCGTAGAGCCTATCGGAGAGAGTGTTGAGAATATGACCCCGGCACATGATTTCATCATCTCCACGCTTCTTCCTTGCGGTCTTCAATTCTTCAGAATCATCCTCCTTTGGTTCAGAAAGTGGCTCCAATTTCAGATCAAGCACGTAGGCGATCTTAAGCATAGTGAGAAGGAAGAACAACTTTCCCTTCCAGCGGGTGAAGTTGGTACCATCAAAACAATCAAGTTGAACATTAGGATTAAGGAAAGATGTCATGTTCTTTTCAACCTCCATTGCAGCAAGTATAAAACCTTAAAGATTATTGGAGAAATTCAGAATTGGGAGGATGAAAAGAATATAGAAAGCAAGAAGAGGGTTTGAGGCGTATAGGAATACTTTCCTTTAAGGTTTTATTTGCCCTCACTTCTCAAAGTTTGCTAATGAGTTTTAATGACAAATTACCCCCAAGATACAACAAACCCTTGAACACAATATCCAGGAAAAATATTGAGTTCCAGAACAATAATAATCTATATTTTCTGAAATCCATTAATTAAAGACAGGGATGCATCCATCCTCTTTAAACGTTACAACCTTCCACATAAAGATACCTTTTCAATTTGAAGGTTATCTTTTATATGCTGATGCACTTATATCAATAGTTATTTCTATTGTTAATAAGTGCTTAGATATGTGAGAAAACATATCACAAATGGATGCAATGGTTCAAGACCTTTTCAGATCACTAAAACACACAAAAACACGTTTTCTGTTAGCAATTTACGCTGCAGCGGATGACATTCACGCTGCAGCGCTCGAGCTACACAAAACAGACCCGAGAGGTCTATTTTGTGTGCGCTGCAGCGCCTAAAAGGTGCGCTGCAGCGCGTCCGTACGCTGCTGTGCGCTGTAGCACTTGGGCTTCGCAAAACAGACTCGAGAGGTCTGTTTTGCGCAAGCTGCAGTGCCCAAGAGGCGCGCTGCAGCGCACGCTCCTGCGTGCTACAGCACGTGCCTGTGCACACCTGTTCTTCCCAAATGTGTTTTAGGCCAACTTTGTGATATCGAAATTGAGAGATATATTACAATCTCTCTAACAAAAAATACCATAAGTACTTTATCTATAATGTGTCAATGTTAAAATAAAAGTTACTCTATAGAGCACCCTAACCTAACACACCTTGCCTCCAACCTTCAAAATGTTACCTCTGTGCCCCAAAAAAATAAAACTTTTAACAAAAATGGTCATTCCGTCAGAATGTTAGGCGGAAATAACACCTATCAATATTACTATTCTATCCTGTTACACCCATATTTACTAGTGATTTCTACACATTTGGTGCTTAATTACTGTTGTAGGGGAAAATGTGGAGGACGCATGGAAGAATGACAATATGACACGTGGTCTTAACTTCTCCTCGCAAAGCAACAACCCTCGACGTCTGGGGCTCCCTTCCTTGCCGTTGAGAAGAGCCCAAGTAAGAAGTCAAACTTAGGGTGTCGATTTCATTTGGCGTCGATAGATCGTACCGTCGACCTTACAACATAAAAATCCCTCGTCATAGAATCCACCGCCAAGAAGGACAATTAGGTTAAACAACACTGGCGACGAGGGGAATGCTCCTTGGGGGAAAGCCTGACATGGCAAGTTGTGTACATAAATGAGGGATGCCTGCAATGCAGGCATTAATTGTAAACCCCTAAACCGCCCCCACAGGGGACAGAAAAGGGTTACAGGTACGCACAGAGCCGTAATAGGAGAATAAATTGGCTGAGTGAACAGTACTCCAAGTGATTAGTGGGCTACGTCTGGGCCTAAAAAAGAAGAGCACTTGAGTGCTTCTGCCTACAAAGGAAACCCACCCAGCAAAGGAAGCTCCAATATAAAAGAGGCAAAGCCCCATATAGAAAGGAGGGACGCGTCCAAAAAAGAGAAAAAAGAACAAGAGAGCAATTGATTTAAATTGTAATCAGCTCAAAAGAATATACAACCATAGTGGATGTAGCTATGATTTTATAAAGTGAACCACTATAAAATCTATTGTGTTCCTTTTCTTTAAAGCATGATTCTTTCTAATTGCTCATCCCTCTAAAAACATCAAACACCTTCGGCAAAAAACTCTTACATATAGCATGTATTAAAGTCGGTAATCCAATGAGAAACCTAGAGGTAACCCGGTCTGTTTTTTTTGACAAAAATTCACCGTCAACAATTGGCGACTGCGATGGGGAAGAATGCGTTTGACCCCCAACAACAACATAGTAAGCAACCATGCCTCCAAGAAGAAGAATTGAGGCCATCAACCAAGGCAACCAGATGGATGAAACCGCCGCTCATCCAATGAATGACGGGATGGAGGAAGGTCCACCCCCAGTCAGAAATGAAGTCCCGCCCCCAGACGTGCCGCGGCCGGATCCTGAGCAGATGCAGGCCCAACTAGCCACTCTAACCGATTTGGTACGTGGAATAATGACCGTGGTCGAACGCTTGGATGGAAGGAACTCTATACCACCTTTAGAAGACATCCCGGGGCCACTGCCACCTGCCGTGGCTAAAAACCCCAACCCCGGTGACCGCCTACATATCTTAGAAGGAACCGGGAACAGTGAGAATCATAGGGGCTAGCCTAGGCCTCGACCTTCCCAATCCTCCGGCGGCCGTTTAAGGGCCACCGGACTCCGGGCTCCCGAGGACCAAATACCAAGAGGCCTGGGAAACCCCGAGGTGCTACCCCAGAACCCAGGGAGAAACCTACCGGGAGACTCAGGGTCAGTACAGGCGAGCGGCCAGGCAAGAGGCGGACCCAACGGTCAAAGGGCAGAGGCGTCGAGAGTAGCTGGCTCGGCCATCTCAACAGAGGAAGCACGCGCCATCATGGAACGTATGGCCAGCCTGGAGCAAAAACTCACAGGGGACGTAGTAGGCCTAAAAAAGAACATAGGGCGAGTGGCTGAGGTGGTAAACGTCAACATCATGCCTAGCCGCACACATGACCACCCGTTTATCGCAGAGATAATGGCGCCACCTCTCCCCGACAAATACAGGTCGCCGTCGATCCCACCATATGATGGTCGAAGGGATCCCGACGATCATTTAGAGATGTACACAGGGCACATGCTCTTACACGGGTATGTCGAGTAAATTATGTGTCGAGCCTTCCGAAACCATTTAACGGATTCTGCCCGAATATGGTTTCGGACGCTGAAGCCAAATTCTATCTTAAGCTAGGATGAGTTGAAGGAAGCATTTTCCCTCCAATTCATAGGGGTTATCCCCTTAAAGCAGAACCTGGCGACGATATACTAGAAGCCGAACGAGTCATTGAGAGAATGGTTTGCAAGATATAGGGAAGCTGTCGCCACCACGATAGATATAACTGACAGAGAGGCCTTGATGGGGGCATTATCTAGCATGAAGAAAATTACCCCCTTCAAGAAAGAGCTGCACTGAAAGCCCCTGTCCAGCTACATGGATTTCTTGCACGAGCGCGAGGATACATCAACGCCGAGGAGGCAGACGCAAACAACCCCGAGCACAGGTCTAACAAGAACAAAGGGACCGAACAAGGGTCGACACCAGCAAAACAGGATAGGAAGAAGCATCGAGGGGGAGGAAGCGGAGATAAGCAGCCAGCTGCGATGTCAAGCGCTCCGGAAGCCAAGAAGCCAAGGCAAGAGGAGAACCGTAAGCCTCGGCTATTTCAAAGGTACGATTCCTACCATGAACTAACAGTAGGAGTCGAGGAAGTCTTCAATCAGGTCGGCCGTGAAAATCTGTTGCGCTGCCCAGAGCCAATGAGGTCAGATCCCAGCCGAAGGAACCAGAAGAAATTCTGCAGGTTCCACGGCGATGTCAGCCACCACACCAACGATTGCGCCGACCTTAAGGATGAAATCGAGAGAGTCATCTGCGAGGGGAGGCTACAGGAGTTCAAAACTGAGCGGAGACCTTGAAACGATGGCCACGGTGGGCAGAATGACGGTCGACGCCGAGAGGAGAACTAGCGCCCAGATATAGCAGTACCAACAAGGATACTTCCTCAAAAAGACTCAAGGAGATCTCAGAAGGACTATGCCCACGAGGCCAGAGGGGTTTACCAGGAAAGATTCTGGAGTGTCTCCGCTGCAAAAACCCCAAGATATAGCAGTACCAACGTGGCGTTTAATGAGGACGACGCCAGCGGAGTTCACTTCCCCCACAACGACGCGTTAGTAGTGGAAGCCATGATTGGGAACTACACTGTATGCCGAATCCGGGTAGACAATGGGAGTTCGGTGGACCTCCTGTACTCTGACTGCTTGAAAAAGATGGGGATCCAAAATGAGCAGTTGGAGAAGACCTCCAGGCCCTTATACGGTTTCACCGGGGACTCCGTCATCCTTCAGGGGACTATCCGGCTGCCCATAACCACCAGAGAAAAACCCTGACAGACCACGACAATGGCCAGCTTTGTGGTAATAAAATGAGGCCCTCATTATAATGCTGTAATCGGGAGACCGACCCTTCAGGCGCTGAGGGTAATAACCTCCGTCTACCACCAGAAGGTCAAGTTCCCTACCCTAAATGGTGTAGGTGAGATGAAGAGGAACCAGTACAAGGCTAGGGTTGCATACTCCGATGCCCTACGCAGATACAACCAACCAAGGCGACAGGAGGCCAGGATGGTCTATCAAAACACCGTTGAGGACATAGACCCCAGGGTTCAAGAGGAGGTCACATGGTCCCAACCCATCGAGCAATTGGTAGAGATCCAAGTTGATGAGGGCGAGCCAACCAAAGTACTAAAAATGGGCTCAAACCTAGCCCCATCACTTAAGATTAAGGTCGAAGACTTCCTCAAAAAGAACTTAGATGTCTTCGCCTGGAATCATGCCGACATGAAAAGGATCGACGCCGAGGTTATATGTCACTCCCCGAACGTTGACCCCTCATATCATCCCAAGCACCAAAACGTCGACCAATGAACCCAGAGAGGTATGAGGCGCTGAAAGAGGAGGTCAACAAGGTGATCAACAATGGGTTTATCAGGGAGACCCATTACCCGCGTTGGGTCTCAAACCCCATTTTGGTGGTCAAGCCTAATGGAAGCTGGAGAACATGCGTCGATTTCAGTGATCTCAACAAAACCTGCCCAAAGGATGACTTTCCACTCCCTCGAATAGACCAGATGGTCGACGCCACAACAGGACATGAAATGCTGAGTTTAATGGATGCCTACTCCGAGTACAACCAGATCCCCATGCATCCAGCCAATGAGGAGCATACATCCTTCATAACTGACAGGGGCCTCTACTACTACAAGGTAATGCCTTTTGGCCTAAAGAATGCTGGGGCTACCAAACAAAGGCTCGTGAATAAGATGTTCACTCGACAGCTCGGCAAATCAATGGAGGTCTACGTCGACGATATGCTTGTGAAAAGTGCCAGGGCCAACCAACACGTCGACCATCTGGGTGAAATGTTTGGTGTATTAAGAAAATACCACATGAAACTAAATCCCCAAAAATGCGCCTTTGGAGTTGGGTCAGGGAAATTCCTTGGTTTCATGGTCAGCAACCGGGGGATAGAAGCTAACCTTGAAAAGATTAAAGCCCTGCAGGATATGCAGTCTCCAACTAAACTAAAAGAGGTGCAAAGGTTGACAGGATGCGTTGCCGCCCTAAACAGATTTATATCAAAAGCAACAGACAAGTGCATCCCCTTCTTCGATGCTTTGAAAGGGAGCAGGCGTTTTGAATGGACACCGCAATGTGAAGAGGCCTTCTAGAAATTGAAGGAGCATTTGGGCAAGCCCCCAATCCTGTCAAAGCCCAACCCTGACGAGGAGCTTAGCCTATACCTTCCCATGTCCCAACACACCGTAAGCTCCGTGCTAATAAGAAAGGAAGAAAGAGTACAGCTGCCAATTTACTATGTGAGCAAAAGACTCCTCGACGCCGAGTCAAGATATACCGAAATGGAACGCTTGGCCCTTGCCCTGATGGTAGCTTCAAGGAAGCTTCGGCACTATTTCCAATCTCACACAGTACGGGTTCTCCCAAACCACCCGTTGAGACAGGCGCTACAAAAGCCCAAAACTTCTGGTCGACTTCTCAAATGGTCGGTAGAGTTAAGCCAGTTCGACATTAAGTATGTACCAAGAACAGTGATCAAAGGCCAAGCGCTGGCCGATTTTCTAGCTGAGTTCTCCCATAGACCGGCTCCCGCCATGCCAGAAGAAGTCGATAATACATAATGGAAGCTCTACGTGGATAGAGCGTCAAGCGATAATGGGTTAGGAGTCGGCGTCTTGTTGATCAGCCCAGAAGGCCACAAGATTACCTCGGCGGTTCGATTTAAATTCAAGGCGTCGAACAATGAGGCAGAATACGAGGCGCTAATTGCGGGGTTGTGATTGGCCAGTCACTTAAAGATTGAGAGACTCAGCATCTTCAGCGACTCTCAATTGGTCGTCGGACAAGTGAAAGAAGAATACCAAGCGCGCGGCGAGAAAATGGGTGCGTACTTGAGAAAGGTGAAAGAAGAACTCGTCAAGTTCAAAAACTACAAGATACTTCAGATACCACGAGCCGAAAATGCAAACGTTGACGCTCTAGCAAAGCTAGCATCTTTAAAAGATTCTGACGCACTAGGGGTCGTTCCTATCGAAGAACTGGAGCGGCCGACCATTGAGGAATGTCGATGAGCTCCGGAGAAGCCTTGAACTCCTCAATAATCTCTGCACGCTTGGCATCAAATGTTGCTGCAACCTCGGCTTCGGCTTCCTTCTTCCCCTCAGCTTTCCCATCAGCAAAACATCTCTTCACTGCCTCAGTTGCTTTGGCCAACTTCGCCTCAGATATGTCTGCCCGCTTTGTAAGGTCTGCAACCGCAGCAGTTAGCCTAGCTAGTTCACCTTCCAAACTCTTTAGTTGGGCCACGGCCACATCTCTCTCCTCGATGGCATTCGCGCACTGAGTCTTAGCATCATCGAGAAAAAAGTTAAGCTTGGCCTCTACGCTGTCCATCTCCTTATCACGCTCCTCAACCTTAACTAGGTCGAGAAGGTTGAGAATGGCGAGCATTAGGCCCTAAAAAATTGGGGGTCAGAAAATAAAAATACAAGCAGCGAAATCAGTAAAAATAAAAGGCAGCTCGATCGAGTCTTACGTGAATTTGGAAAGAGATCTGCTTCCGCTAACGATCAACCAAAGAAGATTGAGTGGCAGCAATCCAGTGCGGCTCGAGAAAAGACTCATATAGAGCCTGAAAGACAAGGAAAAAGTGAGGGGGAAGTTTCAGCATCGCCCCAATCTCGGCATCAGAGATATCCGAGACTTGGAAACTGGAATCCATGATTTTTGCCCCCGGGATAAGCACGCGTTCCCTCGGCGCCGGAGGAACATTAACATCGGGAATGGGGACCGTCGGCGTCCAAGTTTCTGCCACCAGCGTCTTCTCTTTGCACCTCCTTTTCAGCACAGGATCCACCTCCGACACCGAAGGGTCCTTTGTGGTCTTCTTTTTTCTCGGCGCCTGGGAAGAAGAACTAGCTTTCTCCTTTCCCTTAGAAGGGGGTTGTTGGCTTGGCGGGGGCTTCTGACTTGGCTCAGACTGCTGACTGCCAAGAAGCTGGATCCTCAAAGACGTCATTTCTACGGAAACAACGAGACAAAAATATAGTCGACGTTTGGATAGACAAATGCCATTATAAGAAAGGCGTCGGAATCAGGGGTTTACCTTCGTCGCTTAAATGGAAATATTCGCGGACGGCGTCAAGGTCAGTAGGGTCAGGGAGATCGAAAATTAACCCAGCGCCTCGAAGATTGGCCTTGGTCAGGAGGGTGTTAATGTGGCGAACTTCGGACGGGAACGAGAAGGCCTTCTCAACCCTCGCCAAACTATTTCTAGTGAATTTCGGCCGGTCTTGACTGACTTTAGGATAAAAAGACTGTCAGCATATGGAAAAGAAGGAAGAAGCAAAGTAAGGTAAAAGAAAGATAATCAAAATCTCACCCATGTTCCCAAACGACGCCTGCACCTTCCTTCGGCGGGGCAAGCGGTCGTCGGGATGAAAATTAAAAGGCCTGCGTATCATAAAAAACATGGGTTTCCACCCATGTGACGACGAGGGAATACCCAATATTAGCTTGCCAAATCTGGGCTGAGATATCCCATGCCCACTCAAAAAGTACCACCCCTCGCACTTGGCGACATAACACAGTCTGTACATAAATCTAAACTCATCCAGAGGAAGATCCATGTCAAACTGCTGGCTCCACAAAATCCAGGCGCCGGCGAAGCAGTACCAGAAATTTGGCGCCAATTGGGCAGGGGAAATGCCATAGAAGTGGCAATAATCCTTTACAAAGGGATGAACCGGAAGGGTCATCCCCGCCGTGATGGCTCTGGTGTAGACAGGGAGGTATCTGGTCGGAGGCATACTAGTCCTAAAATGCATGTCTAGGAGGAGGTATTCGAACCACCTCCCATCAATGCATCCTTCCTTCACCGCCCAGATAATGTCCTTATTCCGGACCCTCGACGCCACGACATCGGCTGTAAAGAAAGGCCTGTCCGGGTCACCGCTCGTGGCAGCCAGGGGGGCATCCACCAGCAAGGCAGCCACCCCGCTTACATAGGCCGCCATGAAGGGAATTCGGTCAACCACTTCATCTAACATTTGTTCTACACTACCAAACTCGTCGCCAAAATCGTCGCCTGGTCCATACATGGCCTCGGCGTCTTCTACTTCCCTCAGTAAGGAGTCGACACCTGAAGAGGAAGAAGACCATGAAATCTCCACCATAGAAGGGGAGTCTGGACGGACGACAGAGGGATCCTCTCGACGGGGGGAGTTTTGGGCCATTATTCTGGTGATTAAAAAGACAAGGAACTGAGTTAAAACCCTAAAGTCGAGAGGAAGAAGAAAAAGACAGACATTCTAAACAATAACTGCTCAAATGCCTCGACATGACGTCGACCATTCATGTAAGAATGATAACGGTGAGTATTCATGGTAGCCCAAGTTCACCAGAACCTAGGAACCAGAAGTGCATAGACAACCACAAAGTCAGAAAAAGAACTATCCTATGCAGACAAATAAAACGAAGTAAGTCTCTCCAACCTCTACATTTCGCATATTTACACATGCATATGATTCAATAGGGAAAACCCGTAAGAAACGATACAAGCCAAGGATGGTAAGGCTTTCCAGTAAGAAGGATTCCGGGCAAAGTCTGGGACTAAGATAGCTTCGCAACATGCCAAGCAGCACAAGGAATACAAGTCGGGGTTTACGGGGAAGAATTCCGGCAGAGCAAACGGCAGTTCAACGAAAATGAAATATGTTTGTGTATTCCTGACGCGACCACAAGGAATGCAAGGCGGGAAAATGAAGGGGCGCAATCCAAAGGCTCACATTCGTCCTTTCGAAATAAGGCCTCAC